TCAGTAACGCAAGACACGTTACACTGGTGTCAGAAGTGGGATCAGTAACGGAAACACGTTACAATAGCATTAGAGAAGGTAGTTAGAGATGCAGGCATCAACACAAGGGAACTATATTCTGTAAGTCAGTTCAAATTTTGGCGTTTGCAAATGATATTGATTTAATTGGTAGAACACAAAAATCTATGAAAGAAGCTTTTCTTAATTTGGAAAGAGCAGCAGAACAGATGAATCTACTAAGTTAATCAAAATAAAACAAAGTACATGCCGGTAACCAAGAAAGACTGTGCTAATGGACCTGCATATATTGAAATTGGCTCATATAAATTTGAGGCTGTATGTAGTTTTCTTACCTTGGATCAGAAGTTAACTGTAAAAATTACATCAGTGATGAAATAAAACAGAGTGTACTTGCAGCAAATAAATGTCTCCATGGCCTTAGGAAACACCTGAAATCTCAATTAATACCCAGGAAACCCAAAACTATGACGTATAAAGTACTCATAAGATCAGTGCTATCTTATGCCTCTGAGACCTGGCCACTGTCACCATCGGATGAAAGACTGTTAAGTATATTTGAAAGGAGGATCCTGAGATATATCTTTGGACCAGTGGAAGAAAATGGAATAGGGAGGAAGAGGTATAACCATGAGCTATACAAACTATTTAATGAACCAGACATTACTGGATTTATAAAGGTGAAAAGGCTTGAATGGGCTGGACACATAATACGTGCTAGAGGGAATAGAACGATTAAGAAAATACTTAATATTAAACAAGAAAGAAATAGGATAGTGGGAAGACCAAGATTGAGATGGGAAGAATTTGTGTGGCAGGACATAAGAATTTTGGGTGCAAATAACTGGAGGAATGTAGCACCGAATGGAGAAGAATGGCGAGCAATCCTGAGGAAGGCCAGGGCTCACAAAGGGCTGTCGTGCCAGTGTTGTTGATGATGATGATGATGATGATGATGATGAGGTACTTTAAAAGTAACCGACGGTTCAGAGGAGCGCGTTTCATTCTTCTTAGGTTCGAAGAATAAACCAAGCAAGAAACCAGCAAAATATCTTTGCCAAGTGGTTCATACTTGTATCTTCCTTGACTTTTCGTTGACCCTGAAGATGAATACATGTTACTCCGAAACGTCTGTTGAATTCCAGCTGACTACATGGCAATATATCCCATAAGATAGAACTCTTCATAACTACCACCGTGAGAACCTCGAATGCTAGAAAGACTATATGATTTTTTACACTGACTCCATCGAGTGTTCCTAGTGTAGTCTTCTGATTACGGTGCATTGTCAGTGGGATACAGTGCCTCCATCTTCATTCAATATCTGTGGGGATATTAGCTTCCAATATTTTATATCATAAACAGATACTTTTCCACTTACTCACAGACTGCAGCTCATGTACCATCTACCCTGAAGCTACCCTCTCCAAGACACTACACTGCCTCATGGAATTAATCCGAAACCGTCTCTCTTCATTCTTAATATTCGTCTCACATACACTGACGTTTTCTGTAAATCTTTCAACAAATCACAGATCGTGTAGCAGATGCTCAGCCCAGAGATATTAAAATTGCAAATGCATCATATTCGTTAGAATCATACACGAAAAATATGAGTCGAGACTTCTTTCTGTTCTCTCTGTGAGTAATTAAATTAACCCCAACTGTGATTACTGGAATAATTAACTAAATGTTCTACACAAGATTATGTTGTGTCATTATATTAGTTAGCATATAGAGTTTCTAAAATGCATAATAATTAAGGCAATTTTAATAATGAAACACAGTTATATTCTGCGAAATACGAAGTCGAATATTTCTCTTGTACACGTCAAAATTACCCCCTCTTGCCATTGTAGAATGACTACAAGATAGGCGAATAAACAACGTTGTCATGCAACCCGTTTCTAGGCAACGAATCGGTAAACATCTTCAAACTGCAATGAAAACTCACGCAATAATAGAGTTACTATTGGAAACGATGTTTTACTACTCGGTCCGTGTAAAAGGGGTATGAGCTATGATCTTTAAATACAGGACGTAACCCTTGTGGAGGTGGGTACGAATACCTCAACCGTGGCCCTGCGAGTCGTAGGAGGCGAAAGAAAAGTGAAGTCTCAAATCTAAGACAGTAAAATATGGTTGCGATTCCCAAGGACTCGGACCCAAGAAAGACTGCGCTGGCAAGGGCCAGCAGCATATACAGAAGACAGACCCATCCTCTCGTCAGAGAGGGTGCCCTATAAAATCAAGACAGTAACTGTCAAACAGTCATAAATACCTGATCATGTACCCCAGATTGGGCTCGACGCCAAGACCGACTGACCGACCGCCAGTCGCAATGTGACCTTGACCTTGACCTTGATAAAAGACATACAATTTATGCGATTTCTGCCACAGTCCATATCGTGTGCTGTATATATCTGCATACCACTGCGGTGAGAAACTCCGAGGTCCTGTAGCAGCATGGCCGCCATATCAGCTTTCTGTTGTGCGCCCTCGTACTGCGATGTGGCCAGGGGTACCTTGAGCGAACGGTAAGGCTCGGTAACGCACAGCGCTCCCATGTTCTCCGTGGCCACGTCATGGATCACCAGCAGAGCCTCTTCTCTATCCTGTATATAACAGAAGAATTGCGTTATGGGGTGCAGTTAAAGTAGAAGAGGGCCCTCCATTTCTCAGTATGCTACACAAGTTTCAAGATGCATAATCATATGTTCACGTGGAGCAACACAGCTAATCGGGAACAAAGGGATATTAATTGTTCATCCAGTTTAATTAATCGCTTCACTAAAATACTGGAGGATACTTGTCTTAATGCCGGTCACGGTAGCCGAGCGGTCTAAGGCAGGTACTGTCTTCGCTCGCTTGGAAACCGGGATCGTGGGTTCGAATCCCACTCAGGGCATGGATGTTTGTGTGCGTTTTCCTGTGTTTGTGTACAGGTAGAGGCCTTGCGACGAGCAGATCACCCGCCCAAGGAGTCCTACCGAATGTGTAAGATCTAGAAAAACCGAAGTGAACGGAGAAGTTCATGGAGGTAGGCCTAGGCCTACTGGGGCTGTAGTGCCAAGGAAAAAAAAATTGTCTTAATTTTCTAATATTTATTTTTTGAGACGGTCACAGTTTTATAACTTGAAGATGACAAGAAACTGTTATAATTTCTTTTCGTTATACCCACAATTTGTTGCACACCTGTGACATAAATGAGAACTAATAATTGTTAACATAAAGCGACATAAAATGTTTGTCATGAATCTAATCATGGAAAAAGAAAAAGGTCTATATTATTCTTCCTGCTTATGTTAAGGAATTCAGACTTGACATAAGAAATACTGTATATAAATATTTTGAGAACAGTTGGTTTCTAGGTTATAAATGCATACTACTATAAACTCATTATATATTAACATTATATTTTATTTATCTGTTATTAAATGTCTTGATGTTATATTTAGTAGTTTTTCTCATCCCCTCGAACGCGTATTCTATAGCGCGCTGTTCAAACGATCACTGCATTCGTAAAAGTCAACAACCTTTGGAAGAAACTGGAGTTTGGGCAGTTTCTTCTAAGAGTATTCGTTTTTCATCATCAATATTTCAGAGGCTTAATTTGCCATACATCGTATCAAGTATCTCTCAAACAGACGTCTAGAAAGTTATTTAACCATTTTGTTCCGTGAAAGTTGAATTTAGAAGAATATGGGTCTATAACCACAAACAATAGTACAGCCCCTCGCAGATGTAACTGCTCAATTTATTTACAGAAGTTACTACTTAAATTAGAGGGATTTTATAGCATTGTATGGAATGAAGTAGTTAAATTCCTGACTGTTGGTTATTAATTTTATTATTTTGACAAATGGGAAAAAAAAACTGTTCCACCCAGTTTCTCTCGGGGGGGCTGTGTCCGCCTTCCGCCATATACCCCATTCCCCAGAGACGACCATCTTCCCACAGAGGAGTCCGTGGTTCACATGCAGCTTACTTACTCAGCCGAAGGGTCAGTATCTCATGAAAAATGTTTTGACATGTTGGTCCTGATTAGTACATTCTTGTGTTACTTAATACCACTTTTCTGACTGCAAGGTAATAAAACTACTGACCATAGAATCGTTATTAATGACGAATCCAAAATGACTCGGGAGGGATATCACCGTTGCCTGCTTTAAATGTTTTATTTCGGCATCCTGTTTCGCTGAACGAATGGCTATGATGACCGACCAAGAGACACCAGAACTCACTCCCCAGCAAGAACACTTCTTTCAGTCACAACGTGCAACCCACACAACCAAAAATAACCTCAGTTTACTGCAATAAGAGGAAGAAAACCCGTATTAAAATGAGTAGCAGAATCCTTGTCCACAACACCTGTACACGTGGAGATGGAAAGTTAGGCCGAAATATTTAGTGAAATACTTTCCAATAAAGGAACATTCAACGAAGTTGCACCTAGACGGCGCAAAATCTCCTAAGCCTGTTTTAAACTACTACCTCATCTTGAAGGAACTGAGTTAAACCACGAAAGACATTATTATAGATAACCGGCCTCTAGATAAAGATTCAAATTCGAGAACTCTCAAGTAAGAAGCCGAAGTGCTAATAAATCTACCGTGATGTTTGGTATGTGTGGTCCCCTTGGGTGGTCATTGAGCTTATCCTTTGGTCTGTCCATCAAAGAGCCACCTTGGTTAACAGCAGGTATAGCAACACGTGAGGACGTGAGACTCTTTTTAAGAACAAGAAAAAAAAACGAAAATTAATAATACAACATTTTCTAAAAGCTTTAAATTGAAAGAGAATCCTGCTCTAATTTTTTTATAGATTTTTTTAATAATACAGCATCCTACACGTTCGTGAATTTGTGATTTATACAATATGTCCAGTGTGATCTGGGCCTGAAACACTTTTGAAATATTTAAAAATATTTAAGTATTTATTGACAAAGAGAATGTAGTTCACGTAATCAATTCATTGTGTAGTGAAGAGTGAATTGGTTCCATAGGCTTTTTCTTCGTTTAGATTGGGTCATTCTTTTAAGAAATCAAAGTCAATTTTCACTCTACCGTTAAAGTGCATGTGAGCACTCTAGGTTAGCAAACAGAAGCCACTCTCTGTATAAATGCAATTAGAGAACTACAGCTATAAAATAATCCTAACTTCTTCAGAACCCCAGGTCTCAATTCAAAGTACGCTGCGACCCAATACCTGAATTACTAATTGGGAAGTTTCACATCAAATAGATCAGTAATACTTTACAGTTCGTTTTATTCGTCAGTTTCATTAACGTTGCAATACAAAAAGCGAATGAATAATACAATTAAAACCGTACACCTACCAATATTTTTTAGAAAGTATAGAAAATTGTTATACGCTTCATAACTTGTACTTTTCTCCAAGTATAATAAGATTGATCAAGTCAAAGAGGATGAGGTGGGCAGGTCATATAGCACGAATGGGGGAGCGAGGAATGCGTATAGGATATTGGTGGGAAAGCCAGAAGGAAACAGACCACAGGGAAGACCAAGGCATAGGTGGGTGGACAATATTAGAATGGGTCTTAGAGAGATAGGATGGGATGGTATGGATTGGATAGATCTGGCTCAGGATAGGGACCAGTGGAGGGCTCTTGTGAACACGGTGATGAACCTTCGGGTTCCATAAAATGCTGGGAAATTCTTGCGTAGCTGTAGAATTGGCGGCTCCTCCAGAAGGGCTCAGCTCCATGAATAAGTAAGTAAATGGTAAAACAATCAGAAATGAAATACATAATAGACTGTTAGTAGCCCAATTTTCGGTCGTTCAGAGTTTTAAAACGCAAAGATTTTTAATGTAAAATCATAGGAACACATATACATAACAGGTAAAGCTATCCCTGCAACAGGCCGTGAAGGCCCATAGGGCTGTGAGATGTCCAGGCTCCCATATTTTCTAGGTAATCGGTTCACAGATGGCGCTAAGATTATCAGCCTTACGCTCCGACCGCCCTTTATCCCCCAGGAAGATTCCTGGTACTCATTTCTATTATAAGCTGAGTCGACCCCAAGACCATACTGCGGCTGGAAAGATTAGGTGAATTGAAATAAAAAATCCAGTGACCTCATCGGGAATCGAACCCGCAACCTTCCGGCTTGTAGTATAGTGACTCAACCAAATACGCTACAACGGGCCCCCTGGGACACATAAACGTATTAATATTAAAATACGATTGAAACTGATTTAATTTTTATGATTGCATGAACTATATGATAATTATATTTCCAAACTTTGATTAAGCAATAGACTGACGAAACAAACGAGGCACTTTGTATTTTTCACAAATCTTTAAACCCAGTCAGCATATCGGATATAGGATGAGTCTATAAATATATTCAGCATCTGTGTTCGTAAATAGTGGTAAAATTTAACTCTCTTCCACTTCACGCAGCTCATCCAGATATCAATTTATTTCGTATCGAATTTAAACAAATTACACACAATTTGACACTGTCTTCACAAAATAGCTGTGCAGTTAAAGAGCGTTGCTTAAGTCTACTGGAAAGGCAATTTATGAAAACTCTTAAAGGGCAGAAGATCTGGTATGAGAAACGGACGTTTCAACACTTTTGATACAAAAGCCATTTATTGAACCCGACGATGAACCAGTTGAATCAATTCACAATAATTAATATATTTCTTTGTAGTACTACATACATATTTCCTGTTCATTTTCACAGTGGTAGTGTTCTAGAAAGCTTAATACATAAATTTCTGTACAGTACGCTTGTTTATCATATACCAGCTATATATTTTGCCTATCATAACGTCTTTCATTTTAATAATATATCAATTCTCTTGTTGTAATAAAACCTATGCAGTGTATGTAGGATTTTCTGTGAGGTCCGAATATGGTTCCTGGAGAAAGAACAGACAATGAATATGTAAATGAAGATATTGTGAAGTGACGTCCGAAAGCCGGAATAATGAAGTCACAATAGAAGTTCATTGCTAGGTAACGACTCTATAAACACATTCCCGCCGAAACGAATATGCAAGCAACAGTCGAATAACTTCAGTTGCTATGCAACGGCACTGTAAACAAGCATTATCGACAATAAAGGGGCTGTGTTTTCTGCGTGGTCTGTTCAAAGTGATTAAAAAGAAGAGCTAAGTTGCAAAGAGTTAGTCAAACTTGGAGATGCCAGTCTGCCAGGATCCGAGTTTGGCAGCCAGAACATCATTGGCAATCATCCAATCCAGAACACGTCTATAAGTAACGTACAACCCTCTAAATCATGACAATATGAAAAGATATAACATATTTCATATTTCTTGATTTCTTAATAGCAAATATTTAAATCAGGATCATATTAGTCACTTTAACTAGGTATGAAAACAATATAGCCTACTGAAACACAAACGCAAGCCAGCAGTTCTTCGAGGACTGCGAGCAGTCTGTTGTCTGAGTTCTTCGTCATTTGCAGTTAACCGTTCTAAGTTCGGCAGCAAGAAATTCGTCGCGAAGTAATTAATATGCTGAATAGATTCTAGCCGATAGACACAAGAAATGGCAGAAAAGGAAGACGGAGAAGGACAGGGAAAAACAAAACTAAGGAAACCTAACCTAAGCAGGGAC